AACCCTAACCCTAAACCCTAAACCCTAAAGCCTAATATACCTCGCACCCCAGCGCCTACGCTATGCCCTAGACGTAGGGGATTGTATATACGTAGATTAATACCCGCCCGCCCCGATGTCGCTCGATACGCTCCTAGATAAATAAGATCACTGCTACCGTGTATATCTACTAGCTCAGGCCTCGCTCGCCCGCAGGAATCTCCGGCTGCCACACCCGGTATACAACGTTAATACGCTGAGTGCGGCTACGATACAGATTAACCTCGCTCGCCGGGACCTTTATCGCCCGCCACATCTACGCCTCCCGGCTCGGGGGAAGCGTGGCCGTTAAAAATATCATCTGCGTCCCGTGTTGCGTCAATTACCCAAGCCGCTGCATCTGCGGACGATATTGAGTAGACCTATCGAGCATAATATAGCACTTATCAATAACAATCCGGTCTAACCGGTAGAAGCTCCGCTGCCGGTTCAGAAACTGCCCAAAATCCACACTAAGTGCCGACTCAGGCGTCACGAGCACAATACTCGCCTCGTCAGGCGGCCGACAGCTCTCCCACTCAACACACGAGATCCCAAGTGCATAGCAGCGCCGCTGTATATCGCCGCGCAGTGCTAGGAGCGGGACAACCACTACCGTAAGCCCACCCGCCGCAAACGCAGGAAGCATAAACAATATACTCTTGCCGCCGCCCGTCGGCATAACCGCAACCACCGGGCTAGCCCCGCTATGAATCGCTAGAATCACCGCTGCCTACTGCCCGCGGAACGTGAGATTCGGCTCCCCTATCATCTGCTACAGTGTGTCAACTGCATTCACTTGCATTAACCGGTGCCGCCGCTAGTACTAGAGCTGCTGCGCCTCCTAGTCAAACGGGCTAGGACGCTATCCGAGAAGCCGCCCGAGTCCCGATTCCACATCGGGGAACCCAAGAAACCGATACCAGTCCGTGCTCGATAGTCGGAAGAACTCCCGCCGTTGCGCCGTCGTGCCCGCGCGCTCAGTGACCTCCCGTCCATAAGTTATCCCAGCCACATACGAGCTGTACCCGGCCTGAAGATCGGCGATATAGCCCTGGAAGTAGTCGGGGTCCATACTAGCCTCGTCGTCTATATCGTCCGCAATCGTATCCCCAGTACTATTATCGAATTGGTTCTGCGGGAACACGCTGGACTCGCGCAGAAACCGCCGGCTGATCCCAATCGCGATATTCCGGTATACCGACACGTTAATCGTCGTCCCGTGCAGCCTAATCCCCGTCTCACGCGTAAGCACCTACCGAAACCGATCCGACGTCCACTCGCGGCCCGTATATAGATCCGGGGACCATAGATACGCCCACTGCCGGACCGTACGCTCCCGTTCGATAGACTAGGGCGCATAGCTGCTACGGACCTAGAGCTGGTACCATAAAAGCCGCTCGACAAACGGAAGCACTAACCACAGATACCATACGAGCAGCTCGCCGACCTCGCGGGGCAGGAAACGGTAGATAATCTTAGCATCGTTGCTAGCGTAAAACCCTTTGTAATACTTAGTAGCGAGTGCAACTATACCGTCCTCGATAAACACGTTACGGAACGCAGTATCTGTGTTACGATGCCGCAAGCTCAGTAATTCGGGCGCACACGCTAGCTAGCCGGCACAGATATATATAACAACACTAAGCTTCTCCCGGAACTCAACCACACAATCCAGGTACTAGTCGATCTTGCCTATATATAGCTCCTGCGTAATCGGGTGGATAAACCCGGAGAAATAGGGCTCGCCCTGCGCGAACCGGTCACGAAGCCACGTCGCACCGTCCGTAGGCCACTTCGTACGACTGTCCTAGAGGAAACTCCACCCGCTCTTGCTCTGCGTAGGATCGTCCCGGAGCTGCTCCTATAGGATCACGGGGATCTTGACAGACCCTGTTGCGAGCAGTAAATATCGCCGCAGAATCCGCCGAGTTTCGCCCACGAGCCCGTAGATAAACCCGCGAAACTCGCCTATCGTAAAGTAGAGGTCCTTATAAAGTAGCTCGTCTTGGCCCATCCACGTCACATACCCGGGCGTACTAGTGTTGTAGTGGATCTTCAATCCGTAGCTACGAAGATCTAACATCCACTGCATCGGCCCGCGCGTACCACGAACCATAAACGAATTCACTTAACGACTGACCCAATCGGCAAACGATCGGGGCTTCGTATACGACCTAGCCGCTAGATTAAGCTCAGTATCTATACGCAGTGGATCCGTGGATCCGGGGCCGTTCCTGGAGTAGGGCCGTCGATCTAGGTCTGTAGGGGAGCTACCGGGGGAGCCGACAAAAACATACTCTTCGTCGTCGAGCGGGCTTTCTATCGACCAACTCGGCCGTTTACCCTCGCCGCGGAGCTGTGCCAATATCTCGGTTGCGTAGGGATCGAGCCGGACAGACTTGTGCAGAACCATAAAGCGGGCAATCTTGATGACTCGGGATAAAATCGGGGGGTAGCTGTTGGCGTTACGCCAGCCGTCGATCGGGGAGCGCCCGAGCACTGCGAGTACACACACTAACGCGCATTCGTATTCGTAGACCGATACCCGCTGGTTCAGCAGCTCAATACAGAAATCGAGACACGCCGCTTACACGGGGGTCTACGAATCCACTGTAGGATCGCTTATAGCCTCGTCCGGATCGCTAGGGAGGTTACTAGCGGCGCGCCGGGCATCAGTTTGTACCTGCGCCGCGTGTCACGGGCCAGTGCCCGATATAGGTCACGTGTATCACGAGACCTTGGCGTATTGACGTGGAGAACGCGCGGGATAAACTTCCCCTCCTTAAGCTTTTTGTAAACAGCATGTTGGCCTAGTTAGATTGAATCTAAGTCTTGCTTCAGCCCTTCACATACAAAAAGCTTCCTTCTACACCTAGAAGTATCATTGGTCATTGGAAAAGCCCTAGGAAAGCGACCTAGGCACTCATTGGAAACACCCCTGAATCCCAAGCGATTCAGTGACGAACACATATCGGAACGGAATCCTCGCGCATAGATCTCTCAGCGCTCGAGACGGATTAGAAAGCCCTAGAAGATCTCAATTCCTAGGCACACTGGAACATTGGACGAAAAGCGACCGAAGCATTACCGGCACGCTACACAACCCCTAGGCGCTATGCAGCACCAGGAATCGACGAGCCCTCCCGGGTGGGCGCAAACGCTATTACAGCAGATAGCACAGACCCAGGCTATGCAGAACGAAGAAAGGGAGCGGCGTCACCAGCAAGATGCTGCTCAAGAGGAGCGGATGCGTCGCCTCGAGGCAATGCTGGAGCATCAGGCCTCACTAGCCATAACGACAACCACGACGAACGAAGGGCAGGCGACACCTGCACGATCAGCCACCGAATCGGTGCCGGTTCCCCCACGAACAGAGATTGTTCACCGACCGAAACCACGTCTCCCGGACCCAAAACCATTCGGTGGAAGCACGAGCGATTGGCCAACCTGGCGCATTTCGATGGAGAACAAGCTTAGTGTGGACGGCGAAGCTATCGGTTCCCCTCAAGACCAATTCATGTACGTATTCTCTAGACTAGAGAAGCTCGCCTGGAAGAATACTGGAACCTTCGTGAAACTCCGCCGGAACACTGGCGAACCGCAAGCCTTACTCGGCCACCTTGAGAATATCTACGGAGACCCGAATATCAAAGCACGCGCAGCAAGACGACTCCACCAGATTCGACAACCAGAAGACATGAGCTTTTCTAGGTTCCTTCCTAGACTAGAAAAGGAATTCGCTGATGCAGACGCTCTTGAATGGCACGACGAGGCAAAAAGGCAGATCCTTCTTAGCGCGCTCAATAAGACCATGACGAATGCGTTAATGAATCGAGGCATCCCTGCTACCTCGGCGGACCTGATCTCCCGGCTTCACGAGATCAGCTCAGATATGGATGCCCTTAATATCAACAAAGAGGAACGAACACGTCGTCCGCGCTCGCCTAGACAAAATAGCGATGAAATGGATTGGACACCGACCGTGTCGGTAACCCGTGCCGAACCACACACGAAACACCGCCGACCCGAAAGCGGAACGCCGAGACAAGCTCAATGGGTTAGTCAGGACGAGATAGATCGGCGACGTGCTGAAGGGAAATGCCTACGATGTGGAAAATCTGGACACCTTATCGCGAGGTGCGCGCTCCTACCGGCACAACGGCCGAATGGTACACGTATCGCTACTACCTCGAGCAAGAAGGGAAAGGAGCGCACGGTCAAAGTGAAGAAGTCGAAGCCTGCAAGTGACCTAGATTCAGTAATAACGGCTTCTGACGACGAGAGTGTGACTACTGAGGATGAATCGGGAAAAGAGTAGCTCCTGTTCTAAGTCGCGAGCAGGAGCAAAAGGGGGTCGAGAAGCTACTGGAACGTGAGACATTACCGTTTATAGTCGATGCTAGAGTGAATGGAATCCAATTTACACAAGCTCTCGTCGATAGCGGCTGCCGCTGCTATGCAACGGTAAACGAGTCTCTAGTCCAGTCGCTCGACCTCCCGCGCATTGAGATACAGCCACGAGTCCTTGACGGGGTGGTGCCGGATCAGTACCGAATCACCCACATTACCCATTTCGACCTCGACGTCCACGGCCAGCAACAAGGCCGCGTGTTTGCGTATATCATCGGACCCCAAAGCGACAGTATGATACTTGGGGACCCATGGCTACACGACGTGAACGGACGATATTCAGCACGGAAAGGATACCTAGACATCTTCACAAAGTCTGGGGAGCGGACAAGATGTTGGAACCGCGCGGATCGCACTATCGGGCCCCCTGGAGTGAAGGCGCTACGCGTGGCACAGACAGAAGCTTCTTCTATCCAACAGCTTGTACGGAGCGTATCGGATGCAAATCGTTTGCAGATCGGTAGGGTTTCGTTAGACGATATCGAGAAGGCATTACGACCAAAGAAGTACCTCGATCCAAAGGACAAACTGCCGAAACACTACTGGCAATGGCTTGCCGCTTTTAGCCAACAGTTAGCCGATCAGCTGCCTCCACACCGGCCAGGAATCGATCATAAAATCCCTCTGAAACGCGATCGAAACGGTGTCGAAGAGCCACCGCCATATGGCCCTCTCTACGGCATGAACAAGGAAGAGCTTCTTTACCTACGAAAGACCTTAACAGACCTGCTTGGGAAGAACTTCATACGTGTAAGCCAATCGCCTGCGGCAGCACCGATCTTGCTAGTTAGGAAGCCAGGCGGCGGCGTACGATTCTGTGTTGACTATCGGGGGTTAAACGAACGAACAGTAAAGGATCGCTACCCCCTACCACTGATTCGAGAGACGCTACGGAATATGGGCCACGCTCGCTGGTTCACAAAGCTCGATATTATCGCAGCCTTCCATAAGATCCGTATCCACCCTGGAGAAGAATGGAAGACTGCATTTCGGACGCGATACGGGCTCTACGAGTGGAACGTAACCCCGTTCGGATTGACTGGCGCACCAGCAACGTTCCAGAGGTATATCAATCAGACTCTGCGGGAGTACTTAGATGACTTCGTGTCGGCCTACGTTGACGATATAATTATCTACACTAACGGGACGCTAGCGGATCACCGCCGAAAGGTCGGCGAAGTCCTGCAGAAACTAATGGACGCTGGCCTCCAATGTGACATTGCGAAATCGGAATTCGAACAGGACTCAGTGAAGTACCTCGGCTTTATCGTCGAGGCTGGAAAGGGGATTCACGTCGATCTAAAGAAGGTGGAAGCTATTAGGGCATGGGAGAGACCGAAGTCTATACGGGATGTGCGAAGCTTTATTGGGTTTGCGAACTTCTACCGGCCATTTATACCACGATTCGCCGACCTTTCGGCACCCTTAACACGGCTAATGAAGAAAGACGCTATATTCAAATGGGACGACGATTGCCAACAGGCCTTCACGGAACTGAAAGAGCTCTTCATAAACGCACCAATCCTAGCACATTTCGAAGAGGATCGTCAAACAGTCGTAGAAACTGATGCCTCCGGCTGGGCAACTGGTGCGGTTCTATCGCAATATGGACCCGACGGGCAGCTACGGCCATGCGCCTACCTATCTCAGAAGCTATCCCCAGCAGAATCAAACTACGAGATCCACGATAAGGAGCTTCTAGCGATTATACGTGCTCTGCGCGAATGGAGACCTGAGCTGAAAATGGTGCCTCGATTCACTATCGTGACGGACCATAAAAACCTTCGATACTTCGGAAAAGCACAACATCTCAACGAACGGCAGATGCGATGGGCAGACCTCTTAACAGAGTTCGACTTTGACCTCCGTTATCGCCCTGGCAAGCTTGCAGTAAGGCCGGATGCACTATCACGACGGAGTCAGGATATGCCTAAGAGTATCACTGACGAAAGGCTGTCGAATCGCTTCCGAATCCTACTCAAAAGGGTCAAGATCAAAACGGGTCGGCTAAAACTTCAATCAGCCGACAGCCAACCCAGTGAGGAGATCGATTTCGAAAGAGATATCCCCCTCTTTGATGAACCGGAACTTCAGACAGAATGGAAAAAGGCAAGGGCGTCTGACTCGATCTACCAACGAATCTCCAACGCTTTGCTAACGGGAGAGCGCCGAATCGCTGCCGAAACGAACATTAAGACCAGCCTATCGGAGTGCCATTTAGATGATCGAGGGGTGCTTCACTTCAGACAGCGACTCTGGATTCCAGACAACGAGGTTCTACGCACAGGAATTATACAGAAGATCCACGATTCACACGTTACGGCGCATCCTGGGCGAGACGCTACCTATTCGATACTTTCTCGACGGTTCTTCTGGCCAGGAGCGGCGAAAGACGTACGACGTTTCCTCCGGAACTGTACAGTGTGCGGACGGAGCTCAGTATGGCGAGACACGAAACATGGGTTACTGAAACCGCTACCAATCCCCCAGCGAATCTGGGCTGAAATATCCGTTGACTTTATCACCGGGCTACCACCCTCCGGACCCACGGGAGCAACGAACTGTATGGTGATAACAGATCGGTTGACAAAGAGCGTGATTCTGATCGGAATGAAGAATACAACAGCAGAGGATGTAGCAGAGGTGTTCCTCACACACTTCTATATGCATCATGGGGTGCCACTAGCGATTGTGAGCGACCGCGGCCCGCAATTTGTGAGTTCCTTCTGGGAAAGAGTATGCGAAAGGCTATCGATTCAACGCCGATTATCCACTGCTTTCCATCCCCAGACCGACGGTGCAACAGAGCGTGCCAATCAGGAGATCGAACGAATTCTACGCGTGTTCACTACATACGCACAGGATAACTGGAAGGATCTACTACCAATAGTCGCCGTGGCAATCAATAATCGTGATGCCGCTTCAACAGGAATCTCGCCATTCTTCTTCACCCACGGTTACCATGTTGATCCGATTGGCATTGACGAAGCAGGGCAACTACAAGACGCCCTGACCCCACCACGAAAGGCAGGCGAAACGTTCGTGAATCGCCTACGAGAAGCTACCGATTGGTCCCAGGCCGCTATTGCTTCCGCGCAGGCCCTTCAAGAAGAGCAAGCGAACCGACGTCGACAGGCAGCGCCTATCTACAAAAAGGATGACTGGGTTTGGCTAAATCTGCGGAACGTACGCACACAGCGACCGTCAAAGAAGTTAGATTGGCTACATGCTCGATACCGAGTAGTAGACGTCCCGTCGCCGTTCACAGTCCGACTTGATGTGCCTACTGGTATACACCCAGTGTTCCATATTGAGTTAGTTCGCCCAGCAGCAACGGACCCATTCCCATCTCAGTTAGTAGACGATTCACAACCACCACCACTACTAGTTAACGGAGAAGAGGAATACGACGTAGAGCAAATCCTAGCCGTACGAAGGAGGAAGATTGGGCGAGGATATCGTGACGAGGCGTTAGTGAAATGGAGAGGATGGGCAGAACAGACGTGGGAAAGGCTAGACTCAGTGCAGGATTGCAGCGCCTTGGATGCCTTTGAAGCGCAGCACGGCACCGTTTCGGATGTGATTCGCCAGCAAATCGGCACCGAAGCCCATATCGTCGTGCCCCTAACGAGATTGAGGCTGGGAGGGGGGTATTGTCACGGGCCAGTGCCCGATATAGGTCACGTGTATCACGAGACCTTGGCGTATTGACGTGGAGAACGCGCGGGATAAACTTCCCCTCCTTAAGCTTTTTGTAAACAGCATGTTGGCCTAGTTAGATTGAATCTAAGTCTTGCTTCAGCCCTTCACACCGCGGCCCACAAGCGCTCCTACGTACAGCGCTAACGGGGAGTAAATTCGTACTCCGGAGTCATCCAGTCATTAGGCGCCTGCGTGCGGGCAAAAAATAGCAACACCTGCTGCTACAGCTCAACGTGTTTCTAGATACTCGCTGCGTCTATATACGCTATAAGCGGCTTGGGGGCCGTTTGGTCGCGCTGAACCCGGGCGGCGTCATTGCGGATAGCACTGCCTGTTCCCTGTGTGATCGTTTAGCTGATCCGGGCGACTTCGGCCATCGCGTGCTAGACAGTCCAGACTATAGCCTCGAAGCCCTCGGCGTTATCCGCAGGAACAACGATCAGGTCTAACATACGATTAATCGGAACCCCCTCGAGATACCAGGCCTACTGGGTCCGACGGAGCCACGGGTTCGCCTCGTCGGTAGTGCCCGCGAGAATAGTACTCTCGATCTCCCGCTGGCCGTCGAGATATAACCGTTCGAGCTCTTGGGTTAACTAACTGTATCGGTCAGGCGAGCTCGGGGCCTGCTCCGGGTCCTGAGACTTAGACAGGCTACGGACGTGTATATAATGCGATCCAGGACCCTAGGTAAAAAATCGCTGGCATATCACCCGTTTCATCGCATGCTCTCGGCTTTCCTGCACAGTCTGTAGTTCTTGCTGCCGAACGCGACTGCGGCCTTTCACTAAGGAGAAGTGATGCTCAGCGAGCCAGTGCTTTTTCATCGTATCCTCGGAGCGGCAGACATAGAGACAATCCGGCTCTTTAGTGCACCGAAGCCCATCGCGGTAAAGATGTAAACCCTCGATCGGTTTATCAATCTCTCGGGGAAACTGCAGTAGCTGTGGATCATATACGATTCTATACTACGTGGAAACAGTTTCCTGGATCTGCCGGCTGTGTGTAGCGCCGATACAGTGGTTACTATAGCGAAGGTGGCCGAGAATCCGATTCGGGCAAACGGCGAACTCGCACTGTCGGCACACAATCACCTAGTACTCAGGGAGCTAAAGAAATAGCTGCTCGGCGGTCGGGATAGACATAATTTCTAAATCGCTAAACATTAGTTAGGCGATAAAAACATAAGCAACTAACGTACCTAGTACAGGTAGTATCTAACTAGCTCAGGGAAGTAAATTAAGTAACAGTAGGAAGTAATAGAAATCGGAATAGATCGAAGCACGAAAAATTCGAATAGAATTAAAGATAGGGGATCGCTTTTAACCTGGACAATCCCCTGAATATTCAAAAATCTATCTATCGACTACTCGTAACTGACCGGGGTTGTTGCGATATATCGAATCGTATCTTCCAATCGAATTCCTTTAAGGCGGAACGCGCTCGCGCTCAGGAAACTCGAACGCGTCAGGAGTCTCGATATGAAACTAGCTTGCTCGTATATATGTATAATAAATAGCCTTGCCCTTGAGGAAAATAGAATGGACTCGGGCGGAAATAAATCAAACGGAATCTACTCTAGGAAAATCGAATAGGCTTATGCGTAGGAAATTAGATTGGACGCGGGAACTAATAAATCGAATAGACTCAGTTCCTAGGAACTAGAATAGGCTAGCGCCGAGTTAACTCGAATAGACTCCCCTGCCTGGGAAATTAAAATAGACTTAGGTACTAGTAAATCGAATAGACTAAGGTGCGGGAAAATCGAATGAACTTTACTATGCTAAAGAACTTTTTACCAGGACGACAGCGGTTCAATTAGTTCACATAATATCCTAGAGTCTAGCATAAACTATAGAAAAAGTCTAGTATTTATAATATCCCGGTCGGACTATTCGTATGTAGGTCTCTGTGGGATATCTACATTGCTACATAGAGCCTTGTTATGGAGCCTTGTTATAGAGCCTCTGAAGTCTAAAATATGTATTCTACCCTGTATATAACTTGAAATCTACTAATATAATGTGTGCATTAACTTTAAACTTATTTCCCTGCATTGATTAGCGAGTTCTATTGAATTACACCCCTTTTAAAACTAACTAGTTAGTATTTCTATCTTTTCTGGACAGTGATACTGGCCAGAATTATATATTTCTACCGGTCGCATCTGAACGGACGGGTAGTCCCGCAACCGTACCACATCAAGAAATCCACCATTTTAAAAGCCTGACGACCACCTCAATTTACAGCTGATTCTTCTTTACTTACAAAATATTATACATAACTACTATTTCTCCAAGTACCCTAAATTTGGAGTTCGTACTACCCCATAGGATAGAAAGAATGGGGGTGAACCCGAATCAAATCGAATGGACCTAAAACCGAAAAAGCGGGTCCATACAAACAAATCGAATCGACCCCCATTCGATTTACCCCCATGGGATAGGGCTAACGGATACCCTGAGTGAGATAGAAGCTGGTAACCTTGATGATGAGGGCCTAGGGGCTGATCAGATGAATCACAGCAGGGCTACTGGCCTAGCTATCTACGGCAGGAGCGTGGCTACCTTCCAGGGGGTAAGGGCTGATATCCAGACTGCCCTAATCAGCTTTAGTCAGCGATGGCATAGCTATATCGGCCTGTCACCCGATCAGCTAGTGCTAGCGTCACTCTTTTGGGACCGGGCCCTCTTCGTGCCTAAGGCAGAGGTTGATACAAGCGTACCTACGCCCTCTGAGCCACTTACCCTACCACTAGCACGCCCGCTAGTAGAGTTTCGCTATCCTCTCCGGGCTAGGGCTACTGCACCTACCCTTAGGGTTTCCCTAGGGCAGTTCAATGAGTTTATGAGCCTAGCTGGGGTAGATCTAGTAGAAAACCCTAGCCCTAGCCCGAGCGAGTCACAGGACCCGGGTGATAGTGTCGGATTTACGCCGTGTGCATAAACCCTGGTGTGGTGTGCTTGTAGGCGCACACAGGTCGATCGAATACCACGATTATGGAAGAGCGACGAAAGTGCAATAGAGGTGGGTCGGCAGCGAACAGGTTGAACAGTGGAGGGTCAACACAGTTTAATCAGAATTGCCTTGAGCTCTATTCGTGAGTGGAAAGGGTGTCAAACTTATGACATTGTCGTCAAACTTGTTTTATTTTGCTTAGGAAAACAGGCAGTATTTATAACTTTGGGTACATGGCAGGATGTCACAGGAAAAGACTGATGAGAATCCGAAATAACATGGGGGCATACGAGAGTGTTAGGAAACTCGTTGCTTTTCCCATTTGATGCAGTAGTTGATAATCAGCATCGTATATCATGAAGCGGTGTATAGGGATGCAGATTTATGCATCCAATTGCATTAGCGCGCGCATGCATGCATGCGCTCGCTTATTGCGGGATACGCACACACACACATGTTGACAGATAGGCTAGCAATCCGCCGGCTAGCCTATTCGCCTATCGTGCCTAGGCAATTACATTCAGGGCTAGGGCTGCTGACCTGCGTGCTGAAGGAGTTTCTGAATGATGAGGATGCTTCCTTCCGAAGTGCTGAGCAGCAGGGGGCCTTCTATCTGATGATGAAGCAAATCCCCTACTTCTTCCTGATTCTACCGACTGCTGCTGGCAAGACTACTCTATTCCTCCTGGGGGCTAGTCTCTTCCCTGATCAGGTGACTATATTAGTTATCCCGCTGATCTCTCTGAAACTTGATCTCCACGATAAAGCTAAGGCCTTAGGGCTACAGCCTACTGTGTGGGAACCCTATATGGGCTATCGAGAGCTTCCTCCCCAGAGTAGGATGATCCTGGTTCAAATCGAGCACGTAGTTCACCCGAAGTTCTATGAGATGGCTGAGCACCTGACTAGCCTGAAGCGATTATCCCGTGTGATATGGGATGAATGTCACCTGATTCCCCTTAGTCAGAGCTATCGGCCGATTATGAGGCGTGCCTGGCATGCCCTAGCCATTAGGGCCCCAATGGTCTTTGCCTCTGCTACCTTACCATCTCATCTCCAAAGGGAGCTTATTGATATGCTTCAGCTGCCTAACCGCCTTTGCAAGACCTATAGGGCTGGCACAACCCTAAAGCATATGGCCTACCGGGTTCAATCGCTGCCTAAAAGCCTTCGTCAGCCTGACTATCCTGGCTATCTGATACAGTTCATCAAGCAATTCGAGAGCTCCTATAAGCCCTTCGGGCAGCGGGATAGGGCTCGGGTAATTATCTTCTGCCGCAGTAAGGCCCTGGTTGATAGCCTATTCGAGGCCTTAGGCCCTTATGCGGCTAGATTTCATGCTAGCCTAGCTGATGATGATAAGCTTACTCAGCTAGCGCGTTTTAGGGGTGATACCCTACTGCTAGTGGCTACTAGTGGGATTGGTGCTGGCTACGATTTCCCTGATGTTGACTTGGTCATCCATTTTATGCCTGGGGCCTATGAGATGACTAATTTATGCAGGAATCAGGGCGGGCTGGTAGATCCCCTGATCGTCTAGCTTGGTCGTACAGCCTAGTGCAGCCCGGGCAGCTACAGCTACCAAGTATGCAGAACGAGGTGCCCCTAGAGCAGCTGCACTTCAGCCAGTATCTGCTTGATCAGCTCTGCCGCCGGCGGGTGATATCCCGGGTCTATGATAGTGAGGCCCTAGAGTCGTGTGACCCTACGTGGAACCAATGTGATCTATGCGCTGACCGCCTAGCAAGCACATTGGCGGTGAGTATAGGGGTGCGGCAGCAAGACCGGGAGATTTCACAGAGTCTTGATTTCTTTGAGCGAGCAGTGAAGTATTGGACGGATGAGCGTTGTTTAATCTGTTTTATGAGATGGAATGGTGAGCTATAGCCCTATACCCTATACCCTATACGCTATAAGCCTCTGTGATTATATATACTGACTTATATATCTTATAGATTCTGTTGGGGTAGATAGGCAGCAGGCCTCAGCTCACTCCCTTACTACCTGTACGGCTCATCGGGCTAATAGGATAAGGGAAATGGCGAATAAGCTACGGGTCCGGCTAGACCCAGTAGATAATACCTGCTGCTTTACCTGCTTCCTGCCTACTAGGCTATGCAAGGGTGGATTGCTTACTGAGGGGTCTGGTTGCTTTTCAGCAGATCTGCTGACGATCTTTTGGAGCCTATGTAGGATGACCTGGATGGATAATGGTGATGAGATGGAGATTCCCTTTCTAGATACTGATTTAGTGCCGAGGGGTTGGTTACCAAAGGATTTCGCGGATGCTAGGTGGGAGTTAGATACTGAGATGGTTCTGGCGGCCTGGGTGTTTTATAATTTTGCTAGGGGCTATTGGGCGAAGCATAGATACTAGGCTATATAGCTAGATAGTGCTATCATAGCTAATGTTAGCTATAGCCTAGCCTATAGTGGGCTAGGACTTTAGTAGGGTGTGCCCCTTAGTAGATAGTAGGCCAGGCCCTTAGTAGGGCGGGCACCTAGGAGGGCAGGCACCTAGGAGGTAGGGCCCTTAGTAGATTACTTAGAATAGTATAAGGGTCCCCGCTTAGCAGATAGTAGGCTAGCACTCTAGTAAGGTGCCCCCGCTACTCGACTGCCCCCGGTAGGAGGGTGCCCCCCGCTACAAAACTGCTGCCGGTGGCAGGGTGCCGCCGCTGCTAGACTGCCGCCGCTGCTAGACTGCCCCCGCTGCTAGACTACCCCCGCTGCTAGACTGCCCCCGGCAGCAGGGTGCCCCCTCTGCTAGACTACATTATCTACTAGACTGCCCCCGCTAGTAGGGTGCCCCCTCTGCTAGACTACATTATCTACTAGACTGCCCCCGGCAGCAGGGTGCCCCCTCTGCTAGACTACATTATCTACTAGACTCCCCCCGCTAGTAGGGTGCCCCCTCTGCTAGACTACATTATCTACTAGACTGCCCCCGGCAGCAGGGTGCACCCTCTGCTAGACTACATTATCTACCAGACTGCCCCCGCTAGTAGGGTGCCCCCTCTGCTAGACTACATTATCTACTAGACTGCCCCCGGTAGCAGGGTACACCCTCTCTTAGACCTCCTACGGTAGCAGGGTGCACACTCTACTAAACTGCCCCCGGTACCAGGGTGCCCCCGCTAGTAGGGTGCCCCCGCTACTAGACTGCCCCCGGTGGGAGGGTGCCCCCGTTGCTAGACTGCTCCTGGTGGCAGGGTACCCCTCTAGTAAGGATAAAATACTAAATCCTTCGATTACTCAGGCACTACTAGGCCGACTAGGCTACTAATAGTATTAATATAATGCCCGAAGCGAGGGCTATCTAGCTATAATAATCGTGATTAGTCAGTAGTCAACAAATTTCTAAACCTATTCATCCTTATTTTCACCAAGGCCCGGGGGCAGTCACGTGACGGGGATAGCCTCACCTAGTCGAAGGGCCCTTCACCTACCTAGGATTTCACCCCCGGATAGAGTCGTATAGCTAGATAGCTAGATATCGCAAGTAGTCTGGCTAGCAACTGGCGAATGGAGACCACTACGGCCTGATTGCTAAGGCCACGAATCTAGGCTTAGCAACCCCAGCAATTTGGCTGGCCGAATCGGGTATAGCCTACCCGCCGGCCTTGGCCTTGGCATCCCCCATCAAAAAAATCCAGGCTTACCCCAACCCAGCAGGGTAAGGCGCTTCCACATAATAATCCTAGAATATTATGTGACATTTAGATAGATCCAACGATTGGATGAAAAGATTCAAAAGATTCGATCAAAAAATATCCAGATTTGACCTACTTTGGGGGGGGTGGTGTGTTTGCCCCACTTTGAGACACCACCCCCCCCTTGCCAAGACAAAATTTTGCGCACCACCCCCCCCTGGTGGGCCGGAATACCTTTAGGGTGAGTGTGCGCTATGATCTTATCTGGATCATAGGGTAAGTGGATCGTGCGATCGGAAGAATCCACGATGGTTGCTTTTTCACAACCCCCCATATCTGTTAAGGAAATAAGATTAATCGGTGTTTTAGCGCTAATTTGAGATAGATTAATTTCGTTTCGGTGGAGATATTTCGATCCAAAATTTTTTTTTGGTGTTGGGTGTTCCGCTTATCTGGGCGTTCCTAGTGATTCCCCCGTTTAATCGTGAATTACGTTAGAGTGCAAAACCTAAATCGGAATGAACTAAAATCAGAAAAGTGGGGCCGTACAAAATAAATCGAATCGACCCCATTCCACCAACCCCCATAGGATAGGCTGCACAACGCTTTGCGAGGGTCCGGCGTAAAGAAATATCCATACATCCATCGATTGTAATGTAAAAACATAGAGTGGTGTTGTTTTCCTTGTCACACCCTCCTTCGCTCCTCCACTCAAATTTCCCCGGATATCGCTACTGACAACGGCGAATATCCAAGAGCCGCTCGTATCTACACGGTAGTGTAATGCTGTTCAACTACCTCTCGAATACTTTACGCAAGCATCGCTCTGATCTAGAGTTTTGGAACTTCCTCTTGCGACTTCCTTGCGTACTGCACGACTGATGGAGCGAGCGATAGCTGTTGTGATATGAGGCTGTAGTTGCTCAGGAATGAAGCCGCAACATCGGAAATAATTCCTGCACTATCTATACGAAGTTCCAAGTTGATTTCCAATCTACTTGGACTTCATGGTGTACATATGGTCTCTCTGGATCCATCTGAAATGAGAAGAATCAAGCTTCCTTTTGCATTACAACAATAGCTAAGATGCCACCATTTGAAAGCAGCACACACCTCGTCTGACACAAAGTTCCCACCAGACACTCGCCATTTTATGCAGGCACCGTTTTCTCAAGCTCCATTAACTTTCCCATTATGTCAACCGACTGTCTTTCCCAATCGAGGACCTCCTCCGGGATTGCATGGTCACGGGCAGCCTTGCGGGCCGCGATGAAGGCCTGGGAGACTGGCGCCATGTTAGGACCGTGCACCGGCTGGGCCTTGCCCATATACATGTACGAATATTTTGTGAGCTCAGGCCGACGACCGCCACCGACGTGGAAATAGACAATACCCTGCGAAAAGCAGCGGTCGCTCTCGAGCCAGAGGCCTTCGTTGACAACAGGAAGGATGTAGAGGAGGCGATTCACCTCGAACTTGGCCTCCGTGACGACGTTATGTGTCAGGCCGTGTCGCAGCCTGTCCATCGTGAGCTTACACTGCACGACGGCCAGCATATCGCGATAGAGTTTCAGGAGGGCGGCGCCGTCGCCGCCATTAGCGCGGACTGGAATGAGGTTTTTCAGCAAGACTATGGCATCGCGCGCCTCTTTGATGAGGCTGTCAAGTTTGTCCATGTCCTTGTCCGTGAGTGCGTTTATCTTGACGTAGGGCAAAAAGTCATGGCTGAAGCCCTCCAGAACGGTCTCTGCTGCCGCAACGGCTGTCCGGGTTTCTATCTCGTCCATGTTGTGAATTATCTCGGTCTTCGCGCTTGTAATTATCATTTCGACTAGTACGCTGTATAAGTGAGTGCTGGTCGTTAGCGACTTGCAGCCGGTACGTACCGGCATGGATGATCTGCTTGACCATGTCCTGCTGTCGGGCTGCATCCTCTTTAGCTTTCTCCATGCTCGAATAGATGTCCCAGACAGCGCCGATGACGGTGAATATGCTGCTGACGCCATCGATGACCTCTCTGTATTTATTCACAAGGCTCGTCGTTTCATCCACCAGATCTTTCACGCCATCCCAATCCTTCAGCGCGTCAGCTGTCTGAATAATTTTCTCGCTAAGCCTCTGATCTTCTTCCATCGTTGTCGATGCGAGGTGATAATATTGAAGTGTTGTGGCACAATTCAACGGAAAGTTGATCCTATCTGAATCGGTGCAGTGGTGCTTGATAAGTGAGAGTTGGGAAAGGAGTCCGGAGATCGAGAAACTGGTGATGTATATACTAGTGTACAAAACGGCACGCGGAATTTGTTCCAGCAAATAGCGCCAGTGGACGTAACCTTGGAACCGCCTAACCTCGTACTTTGCCATCTGACTCTACAGCGCAGTGACGTATCCGGCCGTCACTAGCTTTGCGGCCATCTAGGCCATCAAGCAATATGTAGGCCGCTGCACCAGCTGGAGCCAAATAACCACGGAGCTGTTATGACCCAACTTCCAGCGACGGCCGTCAACGTTAACACCCAGACTAATTTGACGATGGGAGTCATCATTCTGCAGATTGTTTCTAGCCAGACCACTTACACTGCTTAATTCTCCAACCGTAATAGACCAACTGTCTGGTACACGATGGTGCGGTTAACGGACCGTGTAGACCTCGCCGTAGGAATACCACGGAAGGGATTTTGGCTCCGGGTCCGTGGGACGGGTAGGTAAGCCCTACCCATTACCCATAGTCATAAGCTTGGTCAGCTAAGGCGCTTTAGGGGTGAAACCCTACTGCTATTGGCTGCTAGTGGGATTGGTGCTGGCTACGATTTTCCCTGATGTTGACTTGGTCATCCATTTCATGCCTGGGGCCTATGAGATGACTAATTGTATGCAGGAATCAGGGCGGGCTGGTAGATCTCCTGATCGTCTAGCTTGGTCGTACTGCCTAGTGCAGGCCGGGCAGCTACTGTAAAGGTGCTGCTTGTGAGTGCAGCTGGAATGTTGATTAGGTAGTGAAATGGTAATGGTTTGCTACTGATTTGACTTAGAAGTTTTCCAAGAGTCTTTGGGGCTATTCAATAGTAATGTCAGATTGTGTACAAGACTGAATCTGATCAGGATTCAGTTTACAATGAAGTGAGCCTCCCTTTTAACCTCGAGTAAGGAGAGGCCAAAGGCCTAAAGTCTTTGACGTATAGAAGCTTAATGATGATAGAGTCTTGACGTAAACTCTATCATCTGATTTCTGAAATAAGCTTCTACACCTCGGAGTTCCCCCAGACCAATTCGTTAGAGAGTCTAGGCCCCTTCGGTGATGATTCGTTATGGAAACGGATCAAAAGGGTTTCCCCACGTTTCAAATGTCATTTTCTTTCAGACAATGAAAAACAACAAACTGACTCACAACATAGACATAAAGAATTCCTTCACACCCTAGCTCCCGCTAGGATCTGCGATCGCACCCCATCAAAATTAATCGACCAACTTCGAGCGCGCCAAGATTGCAGTTTTCTATACTGGATCGCTCTGAAAATCCGTAGCGTTAAAGATCAATAATGGCTAACTGGTGAGTTTTTCGAGGTATGGTGTCACCAAAAAGCTGGCTGGGATTTGGGTTCAAAAATGGCTGGTATTTGCCGAATACCAGCGACCCCCATGGGTTAGGGTTCACTATGGGGCGCACAGACGAAAAGCGTGGAATGGGTCCCATTACCTTTCCCTCGCGGCATAGGACAGTAGGATTTTAAACCATAACCCTCTAGGCTGAGAGCGGATTCGTATTTTAGTCTAGCTGGGAAATTAACTCGCGAGGGGTCGGGGTAAATGAAACAATCATCATCATCATCAACAGTACAATTGAAGAGTTCTATGAGCAGCCGTTTTCTTTACACATCTCATTCTTCTCCACACATTTCGCAGCTTTGCTGCCTCCACACCCATCTGCGTAAGGGTGGAACGAACAGTAACCCGATCCAAAGTCTGTGCAAGCTTTCTCTTTGTACGGACATCCCAGGGCCAGGCAACTCTGTGCTTGGGGACATTGAGCTTCGTAAATTTTGCAGACCCGTTCAAAATCCGGTACATCAGGGTTTGACGGATTGACTGTTGGCAATGTGACTGTCGTATTAACAGGCGTTAATGTAAATGTGCCCGGAAGGGCGAAAGCTTGGGAGACATAGTGCATGACGGAGTTGACATCATATTGATATTCATAGGATTTGCCCAGGCCACTGATGATGTCAAAGTTGTGTGCATTACCGCAGCAGCCAGGTGGGGCTCCAGAACAGCAGTCAGAACCAGCAGGCATGGTGGCACCGCCTGTGCAATCAGGGTATAGATTTTCACAGTGGTAATTGACCGTTCTTTCACGGTCAGGGCGTTGATGTTCATGAAGAAGACCTGAGTACACGAATTTGTAAATATTCAATGCTGTATACGGCAAGATACTCGATACATTTAAAAGTAGGCAGAAGGAACTTACCAAGCACATGGCCAAACTCATGGGTTGCTTCGTTCGGGCCGCAGGAACCATTGCATGCTGTACTGGGCTGCTGTAGGTTCATTTGTAGAGGTAAAAGGGCGCCAAAACCAACATTAGCATTACAACCTCCGCAGTCATTGGATGAGATAGTAAGCACTCCGTTCATGGGTGTGACATTGTTGGATAGTTGCTGGAAGGTCAAATAGGGGCTCACCAATTGCCAGCGGACAATTGCGGTGTTAACGATGGCTGCGACTCTGGCTGCAGTACCGGCGGTGTCATACTTGTACACAACTGTGGCGCCCGGCCAAGGTTGTTTGACTGCAAAAGAGCGGAATTCGCTACTCAACAATTGAGCCTCGGTACCATAAATAACATCTCCATCAATGATTGCCAGCCTTTCAACGGTCGTGAAGTAGCTGACATTTCGTTCACCGAAGCTATTGTCGAATATAGTAGCAACACTAACATTCTTATCCAGTGGATAAAGCGGATCGGACCCGGAAGGTGTTTGGGCAGCAACAATGGCGGAGGAGAAGGAGAAGATCAAGAGGGCAATGCATATAGTTACAAGCAGAGACATTGTTGTAGACTTGTAAAAATGGAAGTGGATCTGAACGATCCAAATGATGAGGATGTGGAAGAAATCAGCAACATTCATATGATCTGTCGCGCGCAACCCTATGAAATCATATTTTCGTATTAAGCATGGCATTTTTTGCTGTCGAATCACAGTAACGCTTGCAATGATACCCTGTGGTTCCACTATGGCAAATATGCTCTGAAGTAGACTAAGACTAATTCTCTATGACGCGTTGATGTGAATTGAATCCACCCAAAAAAGCCCAACTTCAGCGCATTATACCTACATGAACCACACAAGTAATCAAGATTCTGGTAAAACGATCAGAATAGTCAGTACTAATTGTACTAGAATCCAAAGAATTAGCCTCGAAAAACGTTGTGGTGCTGCAATGTCAGGTCGGCTTCTCCTTCATGGCTTGGACGGTGGGGTGACTGCATCTAGCCTGGTCAGGCGAATTGGCGAAACGGATTACTTAATCACGGAGTCCCATTTTTGTCCTCAAAACTAAGCCCATTTCGAATTAAATTCTCATAACTAAACCCTTTTTGGATGATGACAACCACATTAAGCCCATTTGGGACAGACATCTCTTTAATGTGATAGATCTGAAGATCAAGTTAGCAGACATTCTCACAGCCCCCTATTCTGTCTTCCTTTGCGATGCAATTCTCACTCACCCCCGTCATTCCGTCGGTATACTGAAGCAGCTTTATTACATAGCTCGTGATGGATCAACCGCCCTCTTATCCCCCAAAGCCCAAAAGAGGTCGACCTCGAAAATACGCGTCTACTGAAGAAAAAAAGGCATCGAGAATAGCTCAACAGCGGAACAAACGCCAGTCTGCTCGCGCGGCGCAACGCGCCCAGCAATGCAATTCGATCAATATTATTCCACGGCGGCGTCTCTACCAACTGACATTAATGAGCCTCCACCAACCTACCTTCCTCCAGAAGAACCCTCCATCGCCACAGAGGTTGAGCAACTTCTACCGCCTCTCAGTCCTGATCTTGGGCCATGGGAACCATCTACTCTAGAAGTTTCGCCCATCGATGATGAGCTGCCACAAGAATCCACGTCTGATGTGAACAATAGGCCTGTCATTGACAGCCCGCCAGAGCGTGCAAGAAATGATGCCAACCAAGACAGCGTTATACTAGAGACGATTGAAACGTCGGTACAAGTGGCCGAGACATTCGTAGATTCAACTCGCCGCCAATCCGATCCCATTCCAACTAACACGGCAGGTCGCATTCATGACCTCGCCCGCGTTCTTACTGATCAGCTCCAACAACACCATGGCTGTTGCCGCCAGTGTCATCGGCAGCGGGAGCGTGTACATGAAGCACAGCATACAGAGCATCTAGGCTTAGGAGAGTACATGGACCGGGTTCAGGCAGATGGGGGATATCCAGACGTTCTTAGCGCGGCGACCGTGGCTAGACGTGAGGACGACCTCGCTGGGCGGACTAGCGCAGAGAGAAAGCGTGAGATCTATACTGGAATTAATTCAGCCACGCCCGATGCTCGTCCACCTCACCTTTGCCTTGCTGCCGACCATAGACAGGGATGCTCGACCGGGGTGACTTTTGATGTCGATAGTGTAGTGGCATTTGCGCACAGCCTTGCCGTGGCAAAACTTGGAGTACGGTGGAACCCGACTCAGATGCCTGTTTCTGATCTTCGTTCAAGCCTTCATCTTGATCCCCTTCCCGTACACTATTTTGGAAGCGATGGTCGTGCTCATCACGTTCGGCGACCGGTGCATAAGATACCGCACTATACATTTGGTCGGCTGGTCGGATTTGAGGATATCTCTCTTTACTTCCTGTTCCCGCGGCTCTTCCGCGAGGAGCAGCAATCCAGCCGTCTCCGGGACGATGACTTTCGGATTTGGATGGACCAAGTACTCTTGACTGCGATCTACCAACATTATGAGGGCTCCCTTGTCCAACATTATCCCTCTAGCTTCGATCACAGCCGGCTGAATGCTACAGCGCGGGGGGTCGAGATGCGCTCGCGACGGGTGGATCCAGTCGCTCGTGAGCAGTTGCTGTTCTATTTTCTCCCACCAGGTGCACTTCCGCTGGTATGGGCGAGTATTCAAGAGAAGATCGAGCGCGTAGGGCTCCAGCAATTCTTGGACTTAACCATTCTCGTCCAGGGTAAAAATCTCAAGACCCTGACCAAGGCCGACACGTGGGATGGCATGATGCAGCAGTTTTCCCGGCACTGGGACAACGCGATCGACGAATCTCATCTGTCTGACCATTCCTAGGTTGATATTGGGAAAGAAACCTGTCCTAATGGCCCTTCACGCGTTGGTGGTGTTGGTCTCCTGGCATCGCGGCTGCGCTCCGAATGGGATTCTCGTCCAACTCTGCTTACGCCGCAGACCCTCCTCTGGCGGCGATGCTGCTTGGACTCGTATGCCGAGTGGATTGGACAGCAGGATCCTCCAGAATCCCCTCGCCCGAAGCAACAGTTCTACCCGATTAGTCTACTTCATGACAGTGGTAGCCTGACATTAGAGACACATCGATCCTCTCCACAGCGGCAGGGAGGCCTCCTCTATACACAGTTGTACTCAAGCGTCAAGGAGGTCTTTGCGGCAGGGGATGTATACCCATTTTCGAACCCCTCCCTAGAGACATTGGCATTAGACCCACAGCTACGCAAAACCTGGCAGTATGTTGGGGGCGGACTCAGTCATGACCTCATTGCGTTAATGCGGGCGTATCTGAACATGAAGCAGCGGTGCCATGCTGCTCTGCAAGGATCCTTTATGAAAGTCTTTGGCCTTCGTGAAGAACACCGCGTCTCATTCCGTCTTTTCTATGCGATCGACCAGGAGCTCCGAGAGCGCAACCTCCATCAATCGAGACTTCCAGGTTTTTCATCTGACGTTGAACCATTCTACTCCCTCCCGACCTCTAGCCTCCTCTTCTGGTTCCACTGGAACATTAATAAGTTCTGTGTGGGCTTTGAGAGCGTCTATAGCATTAATGACCGTCATTTTGTCACGTGGGAACATACTCGGATTATGATGATGTTTCTGCGCTGCCTGCAATTCTCCTACGCGGGTGGCCTGTTACAGCGTGTGTCTGGTTGCTGGCGGGACGTCTGGTTCCGGCCTGATGCTCGGCGGACGGATGGTCTTCGCCGGTGTGAAGGTTTAGGGTTCCAGCGTAATATGGAAGAGTACGGATACGCCTGGTTCTTGGATAAGGTGAACTGGGATACTATGACATTCCGCCAACCATCCGCACAGTACATGATGTTTAACAGCCCTTCTATGCAGGAGGCGTTCCACGCACGGTATGCGCAGATTCGAGACGTCCGCCTAGACTTTCTCCGGGTGCACCAGGCACACCGGTGGATGGAAGAGTTCAGCTCGGTTTCTCCTTGTCTGGATGTTCTGGAAGATTTCTTGCGACAGCTGTCTCTCTGTGTGTTTCGGAAAGATGTCTTTTTGCAGGTCAAGCGACTGTTACATCCGGATCACGCTCCCCGTGCCCTGGCAGGAGAGGTTCCTTTAAGTTATGATAGCATCACCGATGTATTCGTTGAGGGTGCCAAGCCACTACAGCTTCTTGATCAGCGTCGGATCGCAGTGAAGAGTGTGGACACCATCTTTGCTTGGCTTTGGGAATGGAAAGACGGTCGTTATGATCGAAAAGGGTGGAAGGATAAGCCATATCGCATGGTGTATCAGCAAAGCTTTGAGGCTATCAACCAAATCATGGGCAAGGATAGAGCGCGAGAGTGGAAGAAAGCCTTGAAAACTTCATTTCTTCAAAGTCATTGGCTAATTCCATACCCACACAACAATGGATTTATGCGCAAGTCCAAAGACACAGGACAGGAGGTATGGTGGTCTAACTTCAATGCGGGATTGTATGAACACTACCGGCAGTGGTATGGCGTGTCACGTGTGGGTGACCTCTTCCCTGCCGAATACATAAAGCACCATCCAACGACTGGCTGGGGCCGCTCCTATGGCGAACCCCAGTACATGGAGAATGCCGTGGATCCGGAGATGGAGTTGGTTCAGCTTCCCGAGGGGGAATTTTACGAGAAGTTATTGCACATCGCCGATCGCTTTTCCCAGAATCCTGACGCTCCAATGTGGAAGAGAAAAGCCCCGCCGACTGTTTTTGACTTTGGGATCACAATTGGTGATGACTCGTTATTGAGGGCCCAGCGTAAGGTTAAGGGCACTCCGGTGCAAGGCTTATGCATGCAAATAATCCAAGCTCTGGATGAATATGAGGTCTTGGGACATTCAGGACGGATTCTCCGGCCCCGCAAGCAGCTCAGACGACATGGCCAGTCAACCACGAATGAGAACGAAGATGAGGTGACATCAGATGAAGAATCTATCGACAATCGACGAGATCGCTTGACGACACAGATCCTTGAGCTTGAACCAAAAATGCGAGAAGCAGTGACTGCTGAACGGGAGCAGTATCGGTGGCCCCATCTCCATGGTATTCATCTGAAACATCTTGAGCCACGGCTTCAGCGATTAAAGACCGCTGAAAGCAAGACCGGAGATTTTTGTCAAGTGTAGCCGCGTGATACCTCAGGTGAATTAAAAGAGTTGACTTAATCAACTCGTACGATAACTAATACAATTTTGATGGGTCTAATGGATCCGGGGTAGTCCCACGGACCAAAGATTGCGGGAGCACGCACAATGAACCAATCAGGATTGGAGATGAATGGTATGGGGTCGATACCACCCGCTACTAGAGTATAGAGCCGGCAAACTTTATAATTAATGGCGGTATTAGACACGTCAAAGCCGAAAATGTTTAGTGGAGCGTGGAGCAAGAGTCGTTAAAGGTTCTTGTCAAAATATCGCATGCTTGCTCATTTGCAATTCAGAACACGAAAATCAGGAATGAGCCAATCATATTGCAGCATAACATTTATGTCACATATATATGATAGTTATGATTAATGCGAAATTTTATCAAACAATGGATCGTATTGTACTCCGTAGAGCCTGGAGCGTTTGAAAAATTGGGAGAACTATGGCAAATATGTATCTACATCGAAGCTTGAGAGACTAAGACAAAAAACAGGGGAAGGAGAAAAGGGGTACACCGTTTCCAGATTTGCGACCAGGCATAAAAAGCAAAAAGTCCAGAATGACAGGGGTTAAGAACTCAGCTTGTTTCGTCTTGCCAATCGACATTTGGGCCGCCACCAATCACAAAGGTCTTTGCCGACCCATCGAGGCGCCATGCTCAATGCTCTCATTCGTCGCGGCCAGAAACAGCCCCAAGCGTTATGACCTGTGCTGAGAAAACCGACAACGGTTGAAGAGTTTTTTTGGATTCTGGCAATACCCAATAGAACGCCAAGAATCATCCCCACGAATACAATCTAAAGGGCTTCAACACCCACACACATATAATAATCGTACCACACTCAAATATACGCGCTTAAAGTCCATCTCACCCAAAAACGCAGACTCATGGCAAAGAGTCACGAAGACGAGTGGGAGGCCCACCGCGAGGAGCTCAAACATCTGTGGCTCGACCGAAATTGAACTGCCAAACAAGTTCAAAAATACATGTCCCAAAGCTACGGCTTCTACAGAAGGCCAGTCAGAAAGATCGCGGGACTGTTGCTTATAATATGAGCAAAAAGACTAATTCCACCGATGTGAAAGCCAGTTTTCTAGTCAATTCAATAAATGGGAATACAAGAAATCTTGGCTTGAAATCTTCCAGGTCAAGACCACAACACAGTTGTAACGTACCAGACGTCTCTGTCCCCGAATATTTAGAAGATAACGGAACATGGCGAGATATTTCTTTTCTGACTTTGGGGTCAGGGACGCGCTTTCCACGCATCTAAAAACCCCCCCGGGTCTTTCCCATCTCGCTTTCGTTTTTCCCGGCGAGATGAGAAGAACTGCCAGTCTTCTCTGGTTGCATTCTTCTTGTATTACAGTTGCAAAGTGTGGAGTCTGCCATTCTCCGCCGCACCCTCTATTGCACTTCTTCCTTGTTCAATGGCGGGTGCTCCGTTTATCTCTGCTCCGCACCGGAGCAAAATCTCCACAATGCGGATGTTTCCCTTGATGGCCGCCCGCTGCAGCGCTGAGACTCCCCTGTTATGTGCTGCCGGTGCGTTGACGCTGGCTCCACAGGCTATGCAATATTCTGAGAGCTTAACAAGTCGGCCTTCCGCAGCAGCCTGAAGCGCCGATCAGCCCCTGATGGGGCTAGGTAAGCCATTGACATCTGCACCGTGTTGTATCAAGAGCACCACCATCTCACAGTTATTTTTTGATACTGCTGTCTGTGAGGCGGTCATCCCACCAAGTTATTTGCTGGGGCATTGGCATCAGCACCTTTCTCGAGGAGCGCCCAAACAACATCAATATTATTGCGAGAAGCAGCAGCCTGGATAGCTGTCACAACACCAGGAGAGTCGCGAATCCAGCGTTGGTTTGGGCTAGCACATGCAGCCAATATGCATCGGAACACATCAAAACTGCAATATATTGCAACATGCAGGATGGAGGTTTCCTTTGCAGAAACCTCATTATCTTCAGCGCATGCTCCTGCCTTGAGTAGAAGTTCCAAATGAGACACATCAACCATTTTCCTTTCCAAAGCTAAAGCTAAGACTCGATGTCTTGTGCTTTGGTCAGAAACTATTGCGTCGGGACATTTTGTAAGAAGCACGCGAACGAACTTCTCGTTTGAAATCACGACTGCCGCTTAAATAGCTGAAAACTCCCTGTAATGGGAAGCTTCGGACTTGATATCTGCTTCAGATTTCAAGAGGAGATCCACCACCGACTGCCTATTCTTCTCAGCTGCCGCTTGTAGGGCAGTGCGCCCCTTATATGGACCAGCGGGGGCATTGATATCAGCTCCATGCTTTATCAATAGCTCCACGAGACTTTTTTGGCCCAGTGCGGAAGCTTCTTGAAGAGGCGTGAGATGTGATTCGGCAGAGTATCCCGGATTAGGGCTTACACCCTTTTCAAGAAGTTTTCTTGTCGTTTCAAGATCTCCGCACTCGACAAAGGAATGTAAAGGAGCATTGCGACTTTGGCTTGTGAGTATTTCGGTATCTACCCCTGCACGCATCAAAATATGAAGTATTTCTTTCTTAACTGCTGGGTCTTGGAGACGAGCGGCTTCTTTGAGAGCGGTTACACCACCCGTGACATATGGGTCGGTGTTCACAGCTGCCTGAGAATCCAAGAGAATTTCTACTCTCTCAATATTTCCAGCTGCTACTGCAAACTGCAAAGCTGTCTTTCCATTCCTCTCAGATGGAAGAGCATTGACATGAGCCCCATTTTCCAGACAATCCTCAGAACCTTGGTGTCAGAATGTTTTGCTGCAGCCTGTAGGGCAGTCTTTCCGTACAGTATGCCTGCAGGAGCATTAACGTCTGCCCCTTTTGCCAAGAGCAGTTCAACAAGTCTTTCGCTCATGACCATCACAGCTATTTGAAGCGCCGTGTGACTTTGATTTTTTTTCGGTCTTGCATCAATATGAGCACCGTGTCTTAAAATCATGCGAGTCATGGTGATGTTCTTTGCGAGGACAGCTGCCTGTAGCGGAGGAAAGAGCGGGGTCGTGTAAGATGATATTTCATCCTCCAACAATTCTGTATTGCATGTTCTCTAGCTAGGACTTACCTTGACTCCTTCATCCAAGAGAGACTGAACAACCTCCTAGTTCTCTCTAATGGCTGCGATAAGGATAGGGGGCATGAAAGAGAACGAGAGTCTTTCAGCCAGATATATTGCACCCTCGTCATTTCCAGAGTAATAAAAATCCAAATCAGATTCTGAATCCGAATCCGAATCCATCTCGCTATCCTCGGTGCCAACAGCATGTGGGTTGCCCTTTTGGTAACCCGAGCGTGAATTAATATTTGCACCTTCTCCAAGTACAAGCTCTGCCATGCCTGAATTTCCAGAAAACGCGCTTGTAAGTTGAAGGGGTGTCCCACTCTTCGGCTTGGCAAAGAAATCAGGATCGGCCCCCTCTTTCAAGAGATACCGAGCTAATTCAGTATCCTCTGCTCGAATTGCCAACTGCAGGGGTGAAAGACGAGAGGACTTGAATGGCGGGTTCACAGCATCTCCGAACCTGCACAAAAGTCTCACTCGTTCAAGTGGGTTCGAATATCGATCAGAACATGCAACTTGAAGTGGGGACCGTTTGTCAACGGTCAGGTTTGGATCTGCACCTGCTGCCAGCAACAATGTCACACATTCATTCTGGGCATTTTCAAGATCTCGGTGAAGAGCTGTTGTTGGCACGGCATCTCCAGTCAAGCAATTGAGATCCGCCCCAGCTTGGATCAAAATGTCGCAAATCTCAACTTCTCCTAATCCTGCTGCGCTTCTCAGAGGATTGCCCATGAAGATCTCACCTGCGGTGTCGTTTAATTTCAAAATCGTTCTCAGGAGAGGAAAGGCACGGGATTTTGCAATAAGGAATACCAACTTAGCAGTTGAATAGTCGTTAAGATGATGATTCGATGACAGGTAGATGCAGCAACTGAGATAGTCGAACATTTATCTCGCAAGGGGGATTGAACCGAAGCTGTGGCTTTTCTTGCACATCCGAGGTTGAAGTTTTCAGCTGTTATGGGTTCTAGTTTTGAAAGGAAACTTGGCCCGTCTGAACCATCAAACGATTTAAACTGGTGCGAGAGAATCATTCGAGTCCCCTCGGCCATGCTCTCGTTACGGTGTCTGCTATGCAGTTCTGGGGTTGAACCCCCAATCTGCGCTTTCTGATGTAACAGAAGGAACAAAAACAGGCATATCACATTCAAGTATATTGCCAGTATGATTGAACGGATCTGTAGTAGGCTCTCTGTTCCTTTGCAAGATAAAATCTAACGAACTCGGATCCGACAGAATGATCGGCGGTGGAGAGGCCGCACTACTGAGCTGCAACGCTTCTGGGATCACCCAGTTCGAAAAGTCAAGGCTCGGGGGATGCAACCAGTCGTTCAGAAGGATGCTTGGCTGTCGGGTTCAGTGTCAATATCGGGAGGTTGTGCTCCAGGTGTGCACACGTGAATCCCTTCTGGTGTCTTGGGATCTGAAATGACAAATGAGCATTTGATTAGCGTAAACTATTAAAAAGCGCCGGAGATGTCCCGAAAAGCCTATACATATCCGCGATTCCTTGGTCGCACCCCATCAAAACCCAACCCGATTTTGGATCCCTGCAACCACCCTTTCACCTTGAGTTACGAGCTAGAAAATTTGCTAAAATATATGGGAACTACCGTTCTACAATCGAGGCTAATTTGGGCTCTATATCACTTCAGAATGTCTACTGGTATCTGGAATGAACTTCAACTAGTATGTGCAACGGGGCTCCCATACTAAATTAACCCTAATCTACTGAGATGCGCTGCGTCCCACTTCCCCCCATGAGTTAGTGGGGCCATACTTAAGTCATAACCCTAAATGCAATACGTCGCGTTTGATTTACCCCCATGGGATAGGGTATAGGGCGCACTTTCTCGTCCGATCGTAATCTCGCAGATTGAAGATGCTCGCAATGTTAAGGGTCCCATAACATTGCCGGACTATGTTCGTTGGTCACACTTCCTTCTGATCAAGGAATTGAGAAGACAATATTGGCGGGCCAAGTATCCAGTGCCGTCTGAATAAAAGTGGAAGGAAAAAAAACACAAATAACCAATTGACTAATTCTTGGGTTGAGTTCATGAGCAGAACGTAGAGGGGTAGGAAACAGGAGAGTGGGGTTCTGACACACGATGCAGCGATATATGTACACATGCTTCCTGGAAAAAGTTGACTGAAGCACTCTTATCTTTCCGTCAAACCATCCGCGCTCTATAAATCCTCAAACAGCCTTCGATGCAAGCAGTGCATCATGCCCGTATCCGCAGATTCGCTGTGCAGCTCGACGTCATTCGGTTGGATCCCGTGCACCAGTGAATGGTCGATTTTACATCCATTCCCGCTTGTCAGACATAACACAGAAGTCCAACCAAGGATATAATGCGCAGTGTGAAGAACGCTAAAACTGCAAACAAGCATCAAACCCCAAATCAGATAGCACCGTAAATATGCAGCCGGGGCTTCTTACTTCAGTTCGATGACCTTCACGTAGAAAGAGTCTGGTGGGTTTCTTCATCTGCGATGTTAACATGGCGGATGGGACGCTGTGCTATGTACAAGGGCACCGAACAGGCTAAAAGCAAGTGGGTGTTCACCTCGGAACCAATCAAATATTGTGAAAAATGTCCTCTGTACGAACATAAAACTGAACCGTAGGGCGACGGATGGAGTAGATCGTAAAGAATTACGCACAGACATATTAAAAAGGTCTAAGATATAAAACCGGTGGTTGTAATACGGAAAATATGTCGACTTGCGTTGTGAGAGCTCTTTGAATAACAGCGTGATTTCCGCCGAAGAACAGCGGGCGCTAGTAGATTTCTAGGTTAGCGCCGGGAAGACTTTGTCAGTAGGGTTAGTGAAGTACGCTGTACTTCAACGTAGACTAGTACAGGATTCTGTGAACGAAAGAGGGTGCACCCTAAAAATTATTTCTTTGACAGGCTAGATTGTACGAGTAAGACGTGGTGGAATGGATTCTCTGAATAACAGAGGGCGCACCCCAAAAATCCTATATAGAGTGTTTACTGGTGGATTCGTACGAATGTGGCGTGATAGAATAGATTCTGTGAATGATAGAGGGCGTACCCTAAAAATGAGTTCTTTAACAGGCTAGATTGTACGAGTAAGACGTGGTGGAATAGATTCTCTGAATGACAGAAGGCGTACCCTAAAAATCCTATATAGAGTGTTTACTGGTGGATTCGTACGAATGTAGCGTGATAGAATAGATTCTGTGAATGATAGAGGGCGCACCCTAAAAATAAGTTCTTTGACTAGCTAGATTGTACGAGTAAGACCTAGTGGAATAGATTCTGTGAACGAAAGAGGGCGTACCCTAAAAATAAGTTCTTTGACTAGCTAGATTGTACGAGTAAGACGTAGTGGAATAGATTCTCTGAATAACAGAGGGCGTACCCTAAAAATCCTATATAGAGTGTTTACTAGTAGATTCGTACGAATATGGCGTGATAGAATAGATTCTATTAATAAAAGTAAGTATACTCTAATAGTAATATAAAGTTAATAACTAGAATAATAGATTCTATAGTCGGAGGATACGTAAGTATCTCTCTATTCTGTAGTCTAACTCTTAGAAATATATCTCTAGCCCGACCCTATAAAAAAAGTCCTGGAAATTTTAAAAATTCACTACACTCTAATTATACATCGTACGACTACAAAATTGAATTAGAGCTAGTACTGCCGGAACTGCTGCTATAGGTAGAGAAACCCCTTACAAAGCCGGCTCTGCTTAAGCGCTGTATCTGCTATCTAGGAGAGATACTGTATAAGCTTATAATTATCTTAAGGCTGTGGATCGAGTTGACGATACTACGCCTGCTAGATCTCCCGAATCTGCTAACAAACCTCGCTCGTACGAGCCTGCCTAAAAAGTATTATCGCTATTATCGGAAGCAGGACGTACAGATATAAATAGGCCTGTTTGCTTACCCGCGAGTTACAGAGTATTTTAGGGAGGGTATACTTATAGTAGTAGGAGAAGGGTGCAAAGCGGATACGCCCTCGCTAGGATTAATACTAGGCCTATACCTCGGCGCTATTAGGGCTCGTATAATTAATAAGCTTGTGCTTGTTTAGGCACTAATTGATTATATATACCTAGTATTGCTGGTTCTACTGTAAAATCTCTTGCTGTAGGTCCTCCTTATAAGCCGTATGCGATTGCCGGTCCTGGTAGATATAGTGGATCAGGCTCGTACGAGTGATATCTTGTTGCTGTATAGTGTACCGCGCAATCACCGGGACTGTATAGGGGGGAGAAGAGATAATAGTAGTAGGAGGCGACTCGGATATAGCCGAAGATAATAGAAGAGGTATAGTAGTCTAGCCCTGTAATAGTTAGTAGGCGTATAGCGGTGTGCTTAAGCGAAGGTAGACTAGTGAGTAGCTCTCCTTAATCTAATTGCAAGGACTGCTATCGGACAAAGGAGATAGATCTGTAAGGACAGGCTATATAGCAACCGGTGAGCTATAAGAAGATCTAGACGTTTCTAATAGACTATACATCGGAACTAGTAGAGGACTTAATGCCACAGAGGAAGAATCATCACTATAGTGGTTATATATATTGTACGAAGGTAGATAAGAGGGATCTACTAGCTATAGGAGCGTTGGTTGAGATTGGACTATAGTAGGTAGTAATATTAGAGAGGAGACTAGTGTAGGGGAAGCGTGATTGTATAATTCACTCGGAGAGCAAACCTTACAGGGGATCTCTGTAGCAGGCTCCGGGACTGTATAGTCCTAGCACGCCGTCCGCTCCCGGCTATCTAAATAGCGATCTAGTAGGATATAGCGATAAGGGGGCTACTCTGTAGTTAGCTACTGCCGGATAATCTCGGCCTTATACGCAGAGGCCTTCTCTGGATAGACCTAGGACAGTAGTTAGCTTATCGTATAAGGCTGGATTAGGATAGCCTTACTTAGTTAGCCGTCCCGACCTGTATAGCCGGTCTCCTAAGCGTAGTTAAGAAGGCTATACGGCTAGCCGATATAGATCACTATACAGATATCGGAGATATCTATACCTATGCCTAAGGTACTGCTCGCTATAAGAATCGCGTTCTTCGTACGACGGAAGCGGGTAAGGATGCCTGCCTGATCGACCTGTTGGCGAGGAACCCTGCCCTCCTCTACGACCTTCGAATAAAAGGCCTCGCAGCCGAGTAGAGAGGTAAGCAGAGTTATATACCGTACGATAGAGGCGTAGACAATGATACAGCCGGGGTTAGCACGGCGCCGGCGGGCCTAGATAAAACGGATAATCTAGGGATCCTAGAGCTACTGCTCGTAGCCTTGATACGCACGGTCGATTACTAGACAGAAGGACCGATAGGCAATGTTAGGGCGGGTCGTACAATTATAGTAGAAGAAAGCATCTGCGCGCGTATAGTAGAGGCGCTGCTAGAATATATTATAGAGGCTTAGGGGCAGAGTAGCTGTTAGGAAGACGGTTTGAATATTAATATACTAGAGGCGGTTAAGCTAAGCAAGCTGCGTACGAAAGGTATCGCTTGTGTTAAGGACTAAGTAGTATTCGTCGATTACGATCCGATCGAGGCGGCGTAGAGTAACCTAACGGTTTAGGAACGTACGAAATTCGCTACTAACAGCTGATTCCGGGGTAACTAGGACGATCGAGGCTTTGTCCGGTGGGTGATGGCTCTCCTATTAAGTGCTAGTGATATTAAGGCTTATACAACGCTCCTAGAACTCTTGGCGGAGGGCTACTAGGGGAACTACTACGACTGTGAGGCCCTTAGAGATTTACGCTGGAAGCTAGAAAAGAAGGCTTTTACTACTACCCGTAGGTATTACAGCTACGATAGGACTAAATCCGTGCTGGATAGCCTAGAGGACTTCGAACTACTTCCCCTGGAATTGTA